GTCAATGCCAAGAAGAATCGCCGCGATATTGAAGCCAAAAGGTGACCCAACGAAGTACTGATGGGGTGGTCTTAATAATCTGGCCACTCATGTTCAAATATATCCCACGTTCAAAGGCTGTTAAATCGCGTTGTTTACCCATATCATCAGAAAAAAATCACTTCTACTGTCGTGGTAAACAACCTGTTTCCCTATTTATAATGATCTGGCCCTCTAGCAACTTCAGCACGAAATTATAGCTAATTTGCCTACGAACGTAAGGAGGTCATAATAATCTGGCCACTCAGTGTATATGCAAATATGGAAATATGTCCTTATTTTTAAGCCCTTTTAGTAAAAAAAATAGCGTAATTAAATACACATTCTACCACTTTGATCTTTTTCACTAAGTGGATTTGTTTTATTGGGTTTAAAAAAATTTTTTATAAGAATTTATTTGAGACAAACTGATAGCATATGCTAGAGAGCAAGATCTCAAATACTTCTCACTAAGCAGATTTTGGAGGTCTTTTTTCTGTCATCACTTGGAGAATATCCTCGTCTTTTCACAGCCATGTGGTTAAAAGGAATGTGTGGGCATCTCAGTTTATTGAATCTGAATCTTTTCAATAGTGCATTACCCTTTGCTATTCCATAGAGGCCTGCAGCCAGTGACTTTGCACATGGTTTTATTTTGCCCATGAACAAGTACATATGTATAATACTCAGAAGTAAAATTAACTGGATAGCAGAAAAAGCATCTGTAAATTTGATATTGCCAAATTGCCTTCCATGAGAATTACACCAATTTACTTCCACTAGAATTCTTTACAAGTGCTTATTATTTCCTCATATCCTTGTGACCAGAATGTGATTAAAAACATGCACAGCTGGTGTGGCTCAGTGGTTGAGCATCAACCTATGAACCAGGAGGTCGAGATTTGATTCCTGGTCAGGGCTCATGCTCAGTTGCGGGCTTGATCCCCAGCAGGGGGTGTGCAGGAGGCAGCCAATCCATGATTCTCTCTCATCACTGATGTCTCTCCCTCTCCCTCTCCCTCTCCCTTCCTCTTTGAAATGATAAAAAATGAAAAAATAAAAAAAGAATGTTCTTGATAAAGCAATAAAATTTAGTTTTAAAAAATTGTTTAAATATAACACAAAACATGCATTGTCACCAATCCTACAGGTGAGAAATATTTCACAATAGTGTTTTTAACTTAGACTACTTTTTTTTTATTGATACTATTACAGATGTCCCATATTTCCCTCCCATTTTCCTCCACCCAGCTCACCCGCTCCCCTCCCCAGACTTTACTTTTTAGAAAAGTTTTAGGGGTACAAGCAAAATGAGCCAGAATATAGAGTTCCCATATACCCCCTACCCAAACCCACCCAGTTTCCCCCAGTATCCCACCCACTGCACCATAGTGAGATACTTGGTACAGTTGGTGGGACCTACACTCACACATCATTGCCAGACAAAATATGTGGTTTACATTAGGGTTCACTCTTGGTGTTTTTCAGTGTAGTTTTAATTTGCATTTCTCTTTTATAGGTTTACTTTTTAAACAAGAAGCCATTTTTTTCTCATTTTCTGTGTAACTGTTTACTTAATCTCTCCTCAGTCCCCTTATCTGTAAAATGGAGGTAATCCCTCCTTCCTCCCTCCCTCCCTCCCTCCCTCCCTCTCTTTGTCCCTCCCTTGAGGGTTACAGTAAGAATTGAGTGAAATAAAGCCATTAGTTCAGTGCCTGGAACAGAACGTGCAGTAAATGGAAGTGCTATAACATTAGCAAAGGTACAGGTCATTGATTTTTAAATAAATAAAAATACATACACACACATAAATCCCTCTACCCATACCTACATACAGGGGCTAATCTCTCTTGCACTAACAGTCATCTTATATGTATTTCTCTGGCTGTAAGGAGGAAAGTGCTAAGTAAGACAGATAGTGAGGTGGACATAGTGGTTCCCTTTAAGATAGAAAACTGGCTCAGCAGAGAGTTCTGGTCAAGATGATGGTGTAGGTAAACGTGGTACTTGGAACCTCCCATGACCACAGCAGAGTTACAATTCCAGAACAGCCATCATTCAGAACCCCTGAAATCTAGCTAAACAGAAGTCCTATAACTAAAAATATAAAGAAGCAGCCACATTGAGACTGGTAGGAGGGCAGAGGCTTGGAACAG